CAGAAAATCATTGTGCCATATGTTATGAGATGATTAAAATCAATTAAAATTTTCCTTATTCAAATGGCTTGACAGGAACATAACACGGTAACTACAAACTCAGCTTCAGGTAGATAAAGTGATTATTGGTGGTTTCTTGGTAAGAAACAACACCTGAACTTAATAAAAAAAACATAACCTGAAATACTTTCCCTATCATTCAAATCTCTAGCATAATCATGGTCTGTATAAGTAACCAATTCTCAACTCCTACCTTTCTGCATAATATTCCAATTTTGAAAGTTCCTTTTATATATTTCAATACTTTTTTAGCAGCTTGGAGATGCATTTCTTCATGGTGCTCTATATATCTGCTTAAAAGATTGACAACAAACATGATATCAGGTGAGTAACAATTAGGTACATAAAAGCTGTCAATTAGTTGCTTGTATCGAGTGTGTCTAATCTAATTCCATTTTCATCCCTTCATGAGTTTGCACCCTGAAACAATTGGATTATGGATTGGATTTCACTTATTCATATCAAGCCTTTCCAACATTCCTTGGGCATATTTCTTTTAACAAATAAAAATACCTTTTTGACTTTGTAGGACTGTACCAAAAAAGTATCTCATTTGTCCAAAATTTGATATATCAAAATCATGAATAATAGAATTTTTAAATTGTTCAAACACATGTTCATCATTGCTCGTAAAAATAAGATCATCCACATAAAGACATACAATCAAGGTTGTATCTCCATCTCCAACTTTAATAACAAGGTATGCTCACAAGGACATTGACTAAAACCTTCCTTGTCAAAGAAGATATAAAGTCATACTTTGTTGAGGAAGATTTTAGGTGATTTCCTTATAACCATACCCTCTTTATCAAAGTTGAAGATGAAGGTAAAATCTTGATTATATGTTTCTATGTTGATTATCTTATTTTTATGGGCAATAATGAATATATGTTTGAAGAATTTAAATATTTTATGATGCATGAGTTTGATAAGTCATATATTGGAAAACTGAGATGATTTCTTGGCATAAAAGTCCTGTAAAGTAAAAAAAGGTATTTTTGTTTATCAAAAGAAACATCCAAAAAAAAGTCAAAAATGTTTGATATGAATAAGTGCAATCTAATTCATAATCCAATTATTTTAAGGTACAAACTCATGAAGGACAACAATGAAATTAGAGTGAACAAAACTTAATACAAGTAGCTAATTGATATCTTAATTAATCTAACTGCATACTCTTCCTAATATCATGTTTGTTATTAGTCTGTTAAGCATATATATGGATCATCCCACAAAAATGTATCTCCAAGCTACCAAGAAAGTATTGAGGTATATAAAATACACTTTCAAATTTAGAATATTCTAAAAAAATTCAGGAATGAAGAATATAGAGACAACAATTATGCTAGATATCTTGATAACATCCTCTTTAATATGATATTTTTTCACTTTCAAAAATTGAAAGAAAAAAAAAGTTATAGTTTAAAGTGATGGTCGCCAATATATTTAGAATGAGATAATCATTCAAATAATTATAAGGAACATTAAATATACAAGTTCTTTTTTTCTAAGCAACGAGGAAAGAGAGATAGAAGTTGGGGATTGACATATGGGTGGTGATCCGATGCAGCAGAGAAAGGGAGAAAAAAGCCCAGATCGAAAAAAAGAAAAAAAAAACACCATTTTTTTTCATATTTGTCTCTATAATTGTGATATCTTATCATTAACCTAAACTCCCATTGTAACAATAATTTTTGAGACTTTATATATCATTATATTTTGATTTTTTTTCATTTTTTTAATCCACACAGTTTACATTTATTTTAAAAAGTATTATATTTAGTATTGATTTAGTCTATACTAAATAAAATATAATTTTAATATTAATTTAATTTATATTTGTTTGACAGATTTTAAAAAAAATGAGTGTAAATAAAAAGGATGGTGTAAATGAAGAAGATGAGGGGATGAATGAGATCTGAGTGAATGATGAATGTAAAAAGATTTATAAATACGAATAAAAATATAAGTTGGAAAGATTTATAAATATAAATGTGAAGATATTAAGAGAAAATTACGAGTGATGAGATTTTTCGTATTTAAATCTAAGTAGTTAAATTTAAAATAATTATTATCAGGAATGGATTGATAATAATATATAACTTAGTTAATGTTCAGTTAATGTCCACAATATTATCACGATCCAAATCTACATTAACTTTATTTATTATTAATATTTATTTGAGTTAGAATAATCGTATTTTTGATATTTATTTTGGTTAACTAGAATAATAATATTATTTATTTATTAAAAGAATTTAAAAATAATTGTATGTTTTTTTAAATAACTTTTTACGTCTTGTTAAAAGTAGTCAAACCGATTCTATTAACATATGATAACTGAAGCGCTACAAACAAACATCTAAGGCAATAGAAATTAAGTATAAGATAGAAGCAGAAGAGAGCACAACTGAATGGACCTAAACTCTGTTCTAAGGTCCATACCATAATAATTCATAAAACAAAATTTAATCCTTTATATTTATTTTATAATATTTTCAAACAGTAATTTTACAGTAGTCATAAAAGAATAACGTAATCTTTATATATCCAGAAAGATTTTTTGTCCTCAGTCTTTTAGAATATAAGAAATGTTTAAATTTAAAAGAAGGTAGTTATACGTTTGTAATAATTCAAATTGGATTTTATGAATTCAAGTAAATTCATAATTAATCATTTATATTCTTAAATAATTTTACATTTAGGTCTAAATAAATCCTCTAACGTATTATTTATTATTCACAAAACTTATACATAAAACTATGTTGTTTATCAATATATTAACATTGAATTTAATTTACTCAATGCGTTGGTCATCAATAATTTTAGAAGGTGAAAATAATATATTTAAATTAAGCATAATTTTAGTACTTAATTTTCAAGTAAAATTAATAAAGTTCATTTTGCTAAAGCATATCACTTTACACTGTTTGCATTCTTTTGTGGACAAGAGGACGAAGATGTCACGAAATTGGTTTGTGAGAGATTATTTTAAAAAAATCGTATCATATAACATATTTTTACACTTGACACATGATATAAGAATAAAATTATCATAAAAATATAAAAGTTTATATTTTTTTTTTAAAAAAAGTAAAAATAATATCAAATAAATATAAAAAATTCAAGTACGTCAAATAATCATTTTTCATTCTTTTATATCAAGTAAAAATGAACTTTCTATATAGGAAATCATTTGATGAATTTAAAATTAAAACATTAATATTTCGAAAGATGAAAAAAATATATTTAAATTATATTTTACCTTAACTCCAAAACTATATAAATAGTAAAATTGTCATTTTTTATCAATTTCTCCAAATTCAAAATAGTATGGATAAGACTTCTCTTCTTAATTCTCTTATAAAAAATAAATAATATAAAATATTTACATTCTTTTTGGTGACCAAAGATATTTACTCTTAATTATGCTCTTAGAAAAGAAAATTAAAAATTAGTAAATTTGGTAACGAGATCGAAACCTCTTATAAACTCTGTCACTGTTTATTTATTGTCGAAAAACTAAACTTCCATGATCCATAGATCTCAACTCTCTAATAAAGGGTTGGAGAGGAACAATTAATATACATAATCACATTTATTTAATACTATATTTTTTTTAAAGCATAAAATTTACTCTTTTTTGATCATTTTATTCTTATATAATCATTTTATTTTTATAACATGTATCAAATGAATGGAAATAAGTCATCCTACTGTTCTTCTTATTGAACAATAAAAACAACAAAGCTAAACTAAAAATAAGAGAGCGACCGAAGACATTTTAAAACTGGCTCAACAATACTTTGAAACAGATTAAAAGCCATTTCAACCCTAAATTTTTAAAGTAGGATTTTGTTTTGTTTTCAAAACTATATTTAAAAACAGAAAATTAAAACTTACCACCATCCCAGGCATAAACTCTTTGGTTGACATGCTTATATTATTTTAACAAAATAACTTCAAATTTTTAGTTGCCTTAATTAAACAATATAAGATTTGGCATTGACTCATTTAACACATATTTATAATTTGGTTCTCTTTTTTTACTTATGATTTTTCTATAAATATTATGTGTTTATTTATTTAGTATTTTATATAAGATTTTTCTATAAATTTTTAGTTGCCTTAATTAAACAATATAAGATTATTTAATTAAGTCTCAAAATCTTTAATACGGAGGAATAAAAAAATCTTTAAGAATGAAAATGACAAATTTTCCTTTTGAAGATACTTTATTATTACTCGTGTAAATTTTGATTCTTAAAAATATCATTTATAAATTAAATATATATATATATATATATATATATATATAATTTGTTTTAAAAGTATGTTGTTATTATTATTATTATTATTTATGTATATAATACATACAGTTTGCAATCAATATAATACTCTCAATTCTATAAAATCTATGTTTGACTTATTTAACTAATAGAGTTCAATCTTTAAACTTGAACTAATTCATCAAATGAGTGGATAACAAGATTCATAACATTATTAGAGATGAGACAAGAACTTAAGCATGACCAAAAAATTCAGTCCTATATTCAACCTAAAAAACCAAAACATGCAGGAATACTTTGAGATCCCGTGGGAGAATCAAAACCCTAATCACATCAGTAAAAGGATTGAACATTTTTTTTAAATCAAAAGGTTAACTTTCGTGACAACTGGTTGGGAGCAAAGAACAGGCTAAATCATTTCCTGCATTACTATGGGTTTCTACCAGCTAATTTGGCCTAAGCAACTTCAAAACCACACAGAATAATTCAAAATAGTTCAGAAATATTTAAGAAGCATGTGAGCCTTTCATTCAAAGCCACATAAGAGTTTGGTTATAAATCTTGCATGCTACTATGACATACCTATTCCCTTCTAGGCTTAGCCTCCCAAAACAATGTTTTATTTTTCCAACTAATGTCACAGTTCGGAGTTCTAAGATGCATATTACACAGCTCCACACAAAGTCAGAAATTCAGAACCAAACTAAAAGCTTGCACTCACTCAGAATTAACGTTATTTAGCACAGACATCACGTAGACTGCATGGCCATTACCATGTATAATACATCCATGTCATGGAAGCCCTTTGCAGAATCTGGTGAGCCATGGATGAATGGCCTAAGCTTAGCCAAGAATGGTTTCCCTAAATCAGATAGAACGAAGTTTTCCAGAACTAAATTTGTCACAATAAACACTAGAAAAGTGCAAGAGAATTTCTTCATCTGGTCTTTTTCAAGGGGCGTGTTCGGTGCAACATCACACCAAACCCACTTGTTCTCCTAGAAAATCAAACACATTAAGCCCATCTAGTGGGCATGCTAACACCATTTCCACTACCTACCAAGTTAGTTAACGAATGGACAGAAGATCCAAGAGGATACACAGGAGATCCTAGAGGAAGAACCGAAGATCCAAGAGGATTCACAGAAAAGCCATCGAAACCTTCCCTCGAAAACATGCTATTCACTTCTGTACTAGACATGTTTGGACTGCATTCATCTGTCTCCATTGGTGAATTTATTCCAACATCAGATTGCAGCATTTCAGAACTCTGAGAGGCGCTGGACAGAAATTGTAGGCCACCCATGTTATTCACTTCAGAATCATTTCCACCATTTCCATTATTGGAGTTTCTTGTGTTCAAGAAACGACCACCATTTCCTCTTGGTCGCCTCATTGCATGTAGATGGCGTGACTCATGCATGTAAGGCTGCAAGACAAACACGAATCGTATTAACGAAAAGAAAACTGTTTCACGAGTATTCAGACATTACCAAACGTTGTCTTTCGAGTATCATCATATGACAAAAAGTTTTGGGATGCCCACGCATATGATCATACCTTGCGACGTTTGATGAGTTTATTCTCAAGAACAGCCTTGGCACGTGACTGCCTTCGTCTGATGATTCCATGGTACTGCTTAGCATTCACGAAGGTTGGTGCATCATCAGATGCCATGTTATGCGGAAGCATTATACGTCCCTAGTTTATTAAATATGGATGCATACATATGAATTAATAAACAGTGAAAGATTACAGAAGGTGAACAAATGATAACTTCTTTTATTAAAACGATAATGCTGATGCATAAACTATGCTGGAATCATGATTATTAAATGATTTTTAATTTTGAGATCTCTCTTTCTTCTGGAAGAACTAGCTTATTCACCTTGCCCTTTGTTTAGAACCTAATGTATATCTAGGGTATGCAGACATATAAACCCAGTAACACATTCTACAATTCAGTTATTACATTTAAAGACTATGTAAGACTTTCATAAACATGGATAGATAATTGTAGGAATTGATTTCTTGCTTTTTCATATGTTCATACACTGCAGAGATAAAATAATTCCCATTTAAGCATGTTAAAAGCACTAGACTTGATTTATTTAGATTAGGAAACTGATTGAGGTAAAGACAAACCGAAATTTGAGGTCCGTAAGCTGAGATCCCACAGAATTGCTCCATACAGGGATATGGTGCACACATCTAGGAAGGAAAACGTGCCAAACATTTTAAATTATGCCCAGCAGAAATAAAATAGTAAAATAACAAAAGGGTAGTTTTGTTAGAGGTTTTACCATAGGCTGATTAAACCCTATGTCGAAATTGTTGGTGGGCTCAGCAAGTGATGGCTGCAGTCCTATGGCTGGCTGAGGATTTTGGGCATCGCCTAACATTTTACATTCATCTGAAGAAGAAATGTATGATTAGCATAGGAAAATTCCAAGCGTTGAATGCAACAAAATTTCTCACTTAAAAAAATTTAAAAGGGAAAAAGAAGATATTTCAGATAAATAGAAAATGTTAAGGAAGGCCTTAAAATGCATAATCTCATTTTTGTCAGCAGGTTAAATGAGAGTGATGTAACTTTTTTTTTTTTCCTGATAATATTTTTACAGCTCTTTTTAAGATTAAAGCTGTTTAGGTAACTTTGGAAACAGTACTAAAAGAGGGGGGAGAAACCACTGTGCCAGAATTGGCTCAACAATCAATAAATGGTCTTCGCTCTGAAGAAGTCATAAGTGCAATTTCCTTTGCTTTCTCTGCGTCTGCTACAGTGAGTTAAAAGTCTGAGTGAATGCATCGCATTAATGCAGCCTCTGCCCTAATGATTATTAACTAATAGCAACCCTCAACTTAAACTCATCTTTGTGTGGTAAACCCTGTAATATAATACCGTTGTACAACAAATTAGTTTCAAGCTTCAACTAATGCTAGGTCAAACAAAATCATCTGATTGGCCATGCAAGAGGTTCTCCAGAGGCTAGTGGACATTTTTTGAAAATTACTTTCCCATTTTTTGTCTTTCACTAAAAGTATACTGATTAGACAATGAGGCTCATAAGGCAGAGAAGAAGCCCCATAAGAGAAACTGTAGACTGTGGAAAAGGTTTTGCCCTCAAAATTCAAGAATGTTTTTAAAAACTCAACTAGATCTGCAGTCATTTTTTCTTAAAAGAAATATTTATTTATTTATTTATTCAGATTGAATATGTAGTATAGGAGTGAGGAAGCCATGCAGAAAGCAAGGAGGGGGGACCATTTCTCCATTTTTTGTCCATGTCTCAAAGCTGATAACCAAAGGTTGATATGTGCTCGCGAGTCATGGCTTTCACTGGAAAAACGTTGTTTTAGTTCGGCGGAAACAATCTCAGTAGCTGCAAGTCCAAGCTTTTTAAGCTGGTTAGAGCCAGAAATTGAATATCAAACACTTTAGATAACACAAAAAATTGAATGAATATCAAAGACTTGGATAACATAGCCTTTTGTTTAAAATATCAGTAACTCCGTAGTTACATTGCAAATTTGGTACTAATTTCAGTGCCAACAGGAACCAAACTCTTTGATCTCTCCATTACACACATACTGTAACTCAAATATATACATGCAAAGCTGGAAATAGTGCATGCAAATGTTTTTTGTTTTGAAAAAAGGTAGACTACCCAAATCTACAGCTTCCCTTGTTTCAGATTTCTCCAAAACAGGCATTTGTGTTATAAGACACCAGTTGCATGTTGCTCTATCTTTTATGAATTGTTATGTATAGTTACAACTATCATAACAATTCATAAGCATTGCAATTTGGTATAAGCAATAGAACCAAATCATGCAATGATGCAACTCTGGTAGAAATACATCAAAAACCAAATTTAATACCTGGAAAGATGGAAAACTGGGTTGCATGTCCTCTATCGATCACTGGCTCAGCTCCTCGTACTGCTTGCTTACCACCAGCAAATGGGTCGATGTAGTTCGAAAACTCCAACGAAAAGGGCTTGTTTTGGCCACAATAATCTCCATAAACTGGTTGAGATCCTAAGCCATTCCACCATGGAGCGGAAGTTCCAGACGACAACTGTCCAACAGAATTGTGAACAATTCCTTCGTGTTCTTTCAGGTAAGCAGTCTGCATCGCCATTTTCAGCCTCCAAACGATGTCTTAATACCACCAGGTTGATAAAGTAAACTACTTCCTGTAAGAAAAGATTCAAAAACAGTTAAAACGAAAAAAAAAAAGTACTAAAAAAGCAATTAAAAAAGAGAACAATTTTCCAACAAAGGCAAACAAAATAACAAGGTGGCATGTCTATGTCTACCTCTAGCTTTCAAGATTCTCTTAGCTCCACGAAGTACCTAAAAACCACTAATCTGCCTCAGATTTCTCCACTCATCGACGCCAGCATCAAGCAAAAGGAGAGCTGAAATATAAAAAAGACAAAAAAGTAAACTTCAATCAGCATAGTATACCAATAAAATTATATAAAAGAAAGCAAGATTGTTGCTGAGATCCTGAACCGTGAGTCTCAAAACAAAACTTTAATGCTTCCAAGTGGAACACGAAGATAAAAATACACAGATATATACAATATAGCAGTTGAAGTTAAAGTAAAGTTTAACAGATTGAGCTGCGAAGACGCATTATCTGGGACGAGGAGGAGCAACTAAAGAAAGGGATAACACTCACTTCTGAGAGTGAGTAGTAAAAGTAGAAGAAGAATAAGTAGCAGCATCGATTTCTACGAAGTAGAAGTAGTAGATGAATCACCACCCCAACAGGTTGGAGTCATGTCGGTACTTAATGAAGCAAAACACACACACACATAGTACACTTACACACAAGAGAGAAGAAGGAGCAAAGTGAGAGAAAGGGGCAAAAAGAATTCGTACATGTGATGTAGAAGTAGAAATCAAATCACCTATGTTCTTTGGTATTGATGGGTCGAAAGGATGTGCCTCCTTTTAGTACTATGTTTTTCCGCTTTTTATTATTTTTTTCATTTTTAGATTAATTTATAATAATTTTATGGGTTTTGTGCTAATATTTTAATAAATAAAATATGAACACAGTTTCGCATTTCAATGCACTCCAAGTTTAAAGTTTTACGATGATGATTTCTTTTCAAAAGGAGACATTACAGGTCCCAGTTTTTATCGGTTGTTAGGTGTAAGAATATGTTTTTACAAGTTTGAAGTCTCAAAATCTCATATTTGTGGTTAACTTTTTGAAATTTAGAATTTTATTGAGGAGTGAAAACACCTGTTTATAGTTTATTATAGTATATAAGTAAATATGAATTTAATTTTACAATCCAATTTTGTAAAATTATCATTTTTAACAAGATTTAAAAGATATATTGTTTGTTAGATTTATTATTCTATTATCTATTGAAGAATTATAAAATTATTTAGTTTCACATTCAACATATATATATATCTTGGTATAAGAGAGTATATTGGAAATTGTACATTGATTAATTAATGATAATACCATTTTAGAATATTGTAAAATTTAAAAGTAAAAAAAACTAATATAAAAATATATATATCTTATTTATCAATGTTACATCATGAAGATATCTATATTTCAAATATAGTGACATTGTGTAAAATTAAAAATTTAGGTTATAAGAATAAAAGAAAATTTCTGTCTTGAAAACCTTAACAATCAAATATGACACTCATTAAAGTATAAAATAAATTAAGACATCATATTATAATTCTTAACTCTTATTATAATGAAGGTGGCTAAAGAATCTTTAACATGAAGTTTTAATTTATTTTTTCTTAGATCCTCCTAGATATTATCATTTTTAAGACCTCATTGTAAGTTTTATGTTGATAAAAGAGTTTTGTAAGAGCCCACTTTACTAGTATGTTTCTTTAATATTTTTAAGAGAAGATCTGCTTTAAAGAAAACAATTTTTTCTTTCTTTTACTTAAGATTTTATCTAAGATCCTAAATCTCAAATTTATAAAATCTAATTTAAAATTTTAAATATGATAGACACCCTTGCAAAAATCCATCCTTATATCTTTCTACAACCTTTTTACCAAATATATGAGTAGAGAAGGTGATTATATATAAAGGGGAAATATTTGAACAGGTGTTAGTGGGGATATATATTAAATTAAGAAGTGCTTAGTGTTATATTATATATTTGAAGAGAGCAAGTTGGGGTGGGTTGTTCGTATTCGAAAAGTGGTCCCAACAATTTGCATAGTTACTGAGTCATACGGTGCATTAAGATGGGTCTCTGTGGCCCATCATCTCGTGACGAGGTGCGCAGCGTTAGGCTCATTTTTCTATTCAAAATTTTCGATATTCAAGAATCTCGTCGTTGCTTTCAAGGTGATCGTGATCGTGTTGTCATAATAGTCTAATACATATTGTTGCTTTCATCACCTCAAACCGATCATGCCTCTGCCTGACAACTACATTTGATGTAGCCAATTCATTCTTGTAGGCTTATGTAATTACAAAGGTTGTTTCAGTAGATAGATAGATTCAAACCTTGGACTTCCTCTCTCTTTCTCTTCATCTTTAATTTCTTTACCTTACTTTATCGCTTCTAATCTTCATGCGTCATAATTAACCAAACAAAACATCATATTAACCTTTGTTCATATGTATCTATCACTAAAAGTTATGCAAAAAGATATGTGTGACTAAAGTTTTACAAGTAACCCTAATTAGCTAAAATGTGGTTGAGTGGCTGTACTTTTTTGCAGACAAAGTATACATGTGTAAAGAGTGAAAGATGTACTACCCCCATAAGAACCATAACATATGTAAAACAATTTTAACTTTGACCACAAGATATTGTCAACTGTACTAACAACAAACAGGTAGAAAGTACACCAGATCTCTGTGTCCTTTTTCAGCTTATGAGTTAACTCACCCATGCATGTTCCACAACTAATACTTAAACCCGACATAATTGCATTACATACGGGGAATGTTACCTATGTTAATCACCAAAAGGCAAATTCGAAAGTTTAAGGTAATTTTCTAGTATATGAAACCTTGAAGCTGGTGCATAGTTAACTAGTTATGTCACGGTCATCATCCTAGCAGTTGCTACAGTTGTTAAATTGGACATTTTTAAAAAAATCTTAAGCCAAAATTCATCATAAGTCAATTTTAGCTCTTTGCTCTATAGTAAATACACTGTATCAAAGTCTAAATACCTTCAAGCTGAGATTGGGCTGTTTTTCAGCCGCCCATCATCAACATTTTTTATTTAAATGTATTAAAAAAACTGATTAATTAATGATAAAAAATGGTTTATACTAGATTTGGCTCTACAATGAAATGAAATCAGTTAGATTCTGTTTTTAGATTCATCATTTTAATTACATTAAGAAACAACATTTTCCGTTTAAGATATAAAAAAAGTCAATCTCATTTGTAGCAACTCTTTTGTTTGCACTATATGTTTCCTTCTAAGTGATACTTTTTGTGCTTTGTTTCTCTTTTAAGAACTTCTTTTTAATTTCTTGTCACTAACTAAGAAAGGGAAAAAATTTCTATTAAACACTTAATTTACCACTAGAGAGAAAAAGATAGAAGAAATATGAAAAGAAGAAAGAGAGAGATAGATAGAGGGAACAGAGGACCACATGTTAATGTCAATGGGTTGGAATTGTCGGTTCTTTTTTTATGTTCCCAAGATGGTAATGTAGTATTGAATGAATTACTTTTCTTAATCTTGTTAATGTGTCCTTAATTGTTATCAGATAAATAAATGAGAATCAATACCTTCTTCTTCTTTGATAGATGTGCTCTTCATATTATATAAATTATTTTAGTTATTTTGTGAGATTTCTCACTGTTTTACTTTTTCTTCTTAGGATAAGTATGAAGTTGGTAATTTAAAAAATAATGTCAAATCTTCATGCTATGTCCTCCCTAACATAGTTACTAAGATAAATCTTTAACTTTTGGATACTATATTATAAGACACATTTTTATAAAAAAAAAAATTGTGAAGATTTTTGTAATATGATATTTGTCTTATTGAATATACTAATAGTGTTTATGTTGATCTAGCTATAGAAGAGTAGAAGGATATCTTGTTTTATATTTTCCAATGTGCTTCTTTCATAAGTGGAAAGGTTATTTTCTTTTTCTTTTTATTTTTAATTTTTTTCTTCTCAAGAGTTATAAAAGAGAAGAATCCTATGCGGACGCATTCAAGAGAGCCATAGTCGTCTTCAATTTCTAATATTTAAGGTTCATATCGGCATTCACCCCATATAATAAATGTCCAACTACTGAAAAAAAAAAGTCAAAGTTCTAATTATTATTTTTTTAATTATGAGATTGTTGAAAAAAATATATTTTGTTAAAAATTATTACCAATTGTTTTTTCTACTACTTTAACCATTTCATCTATAAAATTAATAGACATTTTATATAACTAAAATGATTATCCCAAAAATATAAAGGGTTTGAAATTTTGTTTTAATCCAGATGTTGTGGTTTTTTAAACACTCTAAAACGGGTTGATTCTTAATCCAATTGCTAATTATTTTAAAGAATGGTTTATACAGAACAGTTTTGAATTGGATTGGTTATGGAAAACTCTTAGTAAATGAATTGGTTTCAAATTGGTTTTAGAGATTCAACATGATGAAAAATATTTTGATTTTCATTTTGATTAATCATAATAAATACTAAATAAGTCAATAAATTCAAATAAAAAGAGTTAATTTCCATTTTATTAAATGTGCAATTGAGTGCAATTTTATAGGATCTGATGTTAAGTTCTTTTTTATATATATTAATTATCTAGCAACAATTAAACTATTCATTAGGTTGCTATGTCAGATTGTTAATATAAATTTGCAATTTTTTGTAATTTGTTCAGCCTTCAAACTTCACTGAAAAAAAAGCATATATTATTCTGGATTGAAACATGAAAACATCATAAAGTAAAGAAGGTTCATTGTTATGTACTTTGATTCCTGCAAAAGTTATTTTCAGGACTTATTATTGGATCTCTGGTGAAAATATATGTTACTTAAAAAATTTATGCATTCAATAAGCCTATTTTATTTGTTTATTTTTTATCATAGAATACTTTTACAGACTAATGTTTATTTGTCTGCCTTTTACACCAAGTGACATTTATCCAGTTCATGATCATTTGTACTTACCGAGGTGTCAACCAACTCAATTTAAACAGCCTATATGCACTTTTTTGGTTTAGACTTGTCTTTACATTCCAATTTAATATCCCTTTGAGGATTTATTATCAATCAAAGGATGATAAGTCCTTTTCTACCTTTTAATTTGATCATATGATAATAAAGAAAATTATCATTTCAGGTATATGGGATGCATGCAGATTTATAATTAGTTCTATGTAGAGTAGAGCATGTTCCTGAAATTTAGAACTCTCACAACGTATCATCTAATTTTATGCTGGAAAAAAAATAATAGGGACGTATTTTTTTTATCATCAAACAATTACATAATTATATTAGAATATTTAGATATTCTAATCTATTTACAAAGTATACGTCTATATTATTTTTCATTTATATCATATATTCAATATTCAATATGTTTATAAAAACCCAATACATGATACTCGTTATCATATTTAAAATCTTTATTATGAAAAAATATATATGCTACTTGTTCTTAAAAAAAAAGTGATTAATAGTTGAATGTTATCCTCTTTTTTCACAAACCTTGACAGTATCCGGGTGTAGATATGTTATTGAGGGCTCAAGTTTTGTCCTCATATAGGTGGTGATTTACACCTTTAAGGGCTTATTGTAGCTCTTTCTATATTTTGGCTTTAAGTTGTATGTGCATCACTATTTTCAGGAGGCATTCATGTGTTATCTTGACTTCTCTTTCTCCTTTTATAATTCTTGTTGAGTTGATTGGGTTCTTTCAACTCCTTGACTAGTTTATTATTATTTTTTTAAATATT